AAGTGATTATTACGTTTTGAATATGGATATTTTTCTTACAAAAACACATCGATTCACTACAGAAGGCCTTTGTTCACCCCCCGGAGCCGTGTGAGACACTTTTTTTATGGATGGGCGCTTATTATTTAACTTCTTTTGGACTGATGCATGCAACACCCGCTGAGTGGCATTAAACAGCTTGGAAGAACAAAGACAATTTTTAATATAACTCTGACTGGATTCGTCTGAAAGAAGAAAGTCATATACACCTAGGATGACTTGAGGGTGAGTAATTTGTGGGCTAATTTTCATTTTTGGGTGAGCTAACCCTTTAATGACTTCCTTTTTCTTGTCAGATCTTTACTGTTCCAAAGCTCCCTGAGGATAACGCAGCTCTACACATGCACAAACACACACTCTTAATCTATATCTCAGGTATTTCTGTATAAAATCAGACTGAATTGATAAGAGATAGGAACTTAAAAGACTAGACAGAGACAGAAAGACAAAACAAATGTTATGTGGAAGTGAAGATGGTCATTTGCAAATTCAGGGGGAAAAAAACAGCCGGCAAGCAGAAATGTACCTGCACTGGGCAAATCAAAAACTGTCAGATAAATAGAGGCAAACAGAGACACTGATAACAGAGAGAGAAGTGCTTGTGTGCTCAGTGTGTTTGCGCATGTTTTACTTAGCTATGGTTTGAGTACAGCACTGTCTGTCTGAATCTAAAATCAGAATCAAAATCTCTCTTTGGGAACATCCTTGAAGTCAAAATAATTTGGAAATTGAGCACATTTTTTGATGCAAAAGATTAGGGGTAGGGTTGGTCTGTAATCATAACTGTGAGTAAATAATAATAAAAATGTAACATATTTATTTATTATTCTAATTTAAAATATGTTTATTGAGGGTTAAGTTAGTTTGTGATAATGATAATGATAAATGCGGAATTGATCATTTTTTGTTGTTATTATTATAATGCAATTTAGTTTTCATTTTATGGGTGGGATTAATTTGTAATCATAATTATAATTAATTAATTATGAATTTGAGCATTTTTAGATATTAATCTAATGCAAAAAAGGGGTGGGATTAGTTTTTGATAATCATAAAAAGCTTTGGAACAATAGAAGCCAATAAGATGTTCTAATTTAGATGCTTCTTACTAGCTATATTTTTAGGGACAAATTGTTAAAAAGTTATAAAAATAAAAAATCTTTATTCACTTACTCAATGTAAATATTTATGGTATGAGTTCAGGCATAGGCTATTTATAAGAGTCATATTTATATGTTTACACTAGGTGCCATATAACGTCATCACGTTCTTTTCTTTTTTCATTAAAAAATAATAAATACCCCTGCTTTTTCTATTGTTAGACAATTCCATTCTCCAGCTGAATGCTCATCAAAAAAGGACCTTATCAGCTGCAAGTACTGCTGCCAAAAAGACTATTTTGAAGTTATGGATAGAACCATCCATTCCCACAACTTCTACCTGGCTATCATACTTCAGAGACATTGCCTTGCTGGAAGGTACCACTGCCAGGCTCAACGGCGCAAAAGACAACACTATTCGGAGTTGGGCAAATATTGCTGTGATGTTGCTAGATAGGCTGGAAAGTTGACATTACTGCTATGCATATCTGAATTTTATTTCTTTTATTTTTCTTCCTCTCCTTTGGTACAAGTGGACAGCTTCATGGCATCTGTTTGTACATAGTTCTCTGGAACTGTGAATTGTGATATATGTTTCTGATGTGAAACTAAATCTGAATAAAAATGCTGATCATAAAATAAATAAATAAATAAATAAACAAACAAACTTCAGCTTTTGTGCAGTTCACTAAACAGTCCTAGTGTGACAAGTTAGTGATTTTTAAAAGTGTAAATATTCCATGTAGTCGAAAAATTATGAATAAATAAATATTAATAAATACTGTTTATTTATTTAGTGTGTGTTTCTTTTGCCATGTCTAATTCAGCGCAGCAGTGATAGAATGTAGCAGCAGCACACATCAATATAACAATATTGATCAATGTATCATGTGTTTGATTGACAGCTGCTCTCACCGGTCTCGGTCGCGTCCTGATGAGATTGAACACAGTAACAAACATTCCAGAGAACAAGCAAACTCAGGAAAAGACCTCCAACTAAAGCCTTCAGCTCCATTCTCACCAGCCAGACCAATTTAGTGCTGCCTCAAATCTTCAGAAGGAAAAATAACGTTTTCATTATTCAGAGAAAACTTGAAGAAAATGATTACAAATACATTAAAAGAAAAAGAAAAAATCAATACATGAAGCGAGATCTCGGATGAAGAGCGGGATGAGTCCTCTGGTCTGTTCTCGTATGACAGCGACCCTCAGACATGAAACATCTGGACTTGTTTTCGTTTGTTTGGCTGGAGGAGGGCTCGAGGTTTTCCTGTCGCCTCCAAACAAAACGAGGCAAAGTTTCGTTCTTTTCCGTCTTCCGCGAGTGAAATGAACGCGGTAAATGTGACAGTCGGAGGAGACTGCAGCTCTCTCCTGTTATCGGTGTTTTTCTGATCCTCCTCTTCTTCTGCAGCCGATAGAAAAAACTAGACTTTCGACTTTCGGTTGAACATTTCCGGTTTTCTGGGCTGCTAGAACGCCTTAAGTCCTCAACTTTTAGTGAAGAACAAAACAGTTTAATTAACACAAAATGTCTAACAATAGGTCATACAAATATTATGGAATGCTCAACAGATCATGTGCATTCAAAAACGATTAAATACGAATTATGATATGATATCATACAGGTAATAAAAATGTGAAGTAATATACATTTTAACTTCTAAATTAATAATAATCTATACCCTTACATTCTTTTCTAGTAGTTTCAGTACCATGGTATTTATCAAAGTACCATAGTATATACAAAAAAATGGTATTCAAAGGCAAAGGAGCCAAAAACAAACATACAAAAATAACCCTGAATTTATATAAGTGAACAATCTTTCTATGCCGTGAAATTGAGGTGTGAACTATCTCTTTTGAAATTGAGTTGATCGGTCAGATAAAGGAATAGTTTCTTCAGGACTCATATTTGCCGTAAGCAATTGAAGTTCAGCTCAATGATGGATTTGTTTCTTACAAACACATAGATTTTCACCTCCCAAGATGTTAACTGATGGACTGTGGATTATTGTGATGTTTTTAGCAGCTGTTTGGACTCTCATTCTGACGGCACCCTTTCACTGCAGAGGATCCATTATTGAGCAAGTGATGTAATGCTACATTTCTCCAGATCTGTTCAGATGAAGAACTAAACTCGTGTACATCTTGGATTTTTTTTATAACTAGATTAACAAGTCATTTTTTTTAACTTTCCCACCCTCGATTTAGAGGGGAAAAAATCATTTATATTGGTGTTTGTGTCTGTAAGTATTAGTTTCATAAAGTATGTCATTGGTGTAAAAGAGCACTCAGATGACCTTTGTTTCTGATGTCTTATTGGTTAAAACGAGGACACTATTTCAGCCTCCTAATCTCTATTTGCCTTAATTTACAGTGTGCTTCCAAGTCAACTCTATTATGTATGTGTGTGTGTGTGTGCAAGTGCTTCTCTGTCAGGGTTTATTAAAGCATAGAAGGTATACAGTAGGATGAGACAAAAATAGGCCAGATTAACACAAGACACAGGCTGTTACACTTTACCATCAGGATCCTGAAAACATTTGTGTGACATACAGTACACACTCTAACAAAAGTCTCTAAAAATACGGCCCAATGTTCTGGGTTAATATGATGGAATTTTTCCTTTTTTTTCTTCTTTTTTTTTTTACAGGTGTTTTACCCGTGTTTTGAATTATGCATTTCATTGCGTGCTTTACGGATCTAAGGAAATATAGGCTAAATAAATTTAGTGATTTTTAAAAGTGTTTAAATTTCAGTAATTTTCTACCAGGATGTTATCTATTTTTCTGTTTATCTAGGTTTTTTTCTTACAGTTCAGAAACATTAAGAAATGTAACATTAATGACATTTTTTCCCCATTTAATGTAAAATAATCTATGATCTATCTAATAATCTCTATCTATCTATCTATCTATCTATCTATCTATCATCTATGATCTATCTAATAATCTCTATCTATCTATCTATCTATCTATCTATCTATATTCAAAGTCTGAAACCACTACAGAAAATTTGTTTTCAAATTTATTTTACATTTTGTCATGAAAAATTATATTAGAAACATAAATGAAACATGAAAGTTGAAACAAAAATTATGATGAATTTGACTTGGGTTCACATTAGATTGAAGATCTAGAAATTGGGCAGTTTTAAATATTTATAATAGTTATTTCAATCAATTCTATTCAAACATTTCTGTTCATTTCCAGATTTGGAATCCCAGATTTTCAGTGTGGTCCCAGGCATTTGTATGTCACTGTATTTGCTTGATTATGCAGTACAGTATATGCATATTGGTGATGACACAGTTTTCCTTAAAGGTTAGTATACTGGCCGTCTTAGAATACTGTTATCTGATTGGCCAGAAGTGAAGCGATGCTATTGGTTAGACCTGGGATGATGGTTAGACCCAGCAGAGGCATTTGTTTTGACCTCTTAACTTGGCTCTGATCCAGTGAGTTTGAGCACTAAACCTCGGACTAATCCACCGCTCGCAGCTCATCCAAACACTGACATGCAGTGGACTCTCATACACAAATCACAGACATACTCTGTACTCGAACTCTCTTTTACACAGTCACATACAAAATAAAGAGTTCTGTGGATGGTAATAATGTAATTTGGAGAGAAAATCTGGACATCTGGACCTGAAGAACAGTTAGATGGGACAGGTAGGATGACATGCTTTCTTGTCTTTGTCTCAAATGCAATAGTGCATAATCAAAATAATAAGAGAACAAAGCATGACCAGGTTTTGTGAGCTCAAATGGTCCTGAAGTCTATTTTTGGCTTGTCTTAACTTCTGTATAAGAGAGAGTGAGATGCTCCAAATGACTTGTGTAATAGTCTTGTATAACTGGTGGCAAACATAACTTTAAAAGATCTGTGTGCATGTTCACACATCTTAGCACGAGTGTTTGTCTTCACATTGACACAATGGTGGAAACATAAATGTTTTATATAATTATGTGATTATTTTTCAGATTTTTTCAGTCTTTAATTCACTTTTAATCCTCTTCTGTTGCTTAAAACAAGTCATGTGGGATCCAAAATATTCCAGTTATAAGCCAAATGTTGAAATATAAGGATGCAGAGTCAATTTGTATTGATTTAGTTTGATAGAGCTAAATGAACACTCCTGATAATGTGAAATATTAGCAAATGTTTCATATTTTATAAATACAATTCTAACAATAACTCCAGATTTCAATTAGAGGATGTCATTTGAATGAATATGCATACAAAATTTAAAGAAAAATGCTGCATGTTGTGCACAGTACTATCTTTGTATAACTGAGATACTATTATAGTTTTTTTATAATATTTTGAGTCATATTTTTTCATTTGCAATTTTTTTAAGTTTTAGTAATTTTGCGGAGTATTTTTGTTATTTTTAGTCATTTTTATTTTATATTTGTATTCATTTTTACTTCAGTTTAATTATTTTAGTACATCACGTTTAACTAAATTAAAATAAGGAATGTTGCCTTGGCAACTAGCTGACATTTTTTGGAGATTTTTAATGCTTTTTTCTATATTTTATTTCAGTTAACATTTATTTAAAACTAAATAAGCACAGTTTTAGTTAGCTAAAATAGCACAGTGTAAGTAAGAGTGTGTGTTTGGGTGTTTGCACTTAAGAAGGCTTATCTGTCTGCTGACAACTTCCTTACAAGATTTATGGGTCTTAAATGAGCAGGGCTGTTTGCTAAAAAAACATTTAAAGGTCATGTTACTCCAGATCTTCTAAACATAAAAGCAATAATATATTCCCAGGCTGCATTTAGGTCCATTTAAGCCAGTTCCTTCTCTTGAGCTAAATTAGCCAATTCATAATAATACAGTACAGTAATGCAATATGTCATTTTTAACATACCTGTTTTTTATCCTGTCAGTGAGAGATGGTTTTGAGGTTGATCTTCAGTGAACAGCCACTGTGGAAGATTCTAATATTCTGCCAGCTATATTCTGCGGTCAGCCGGCATTCTGTAATTGGTATAAACACAAACACAGAGACAGACCACACACAAAAAACAAAACACACACACGCACACACACACATTTGACGTGCATGCATCCATACAACTTCAATTGACCTCACACAGCTAAATATTGAGTACAACAGGCGAATACAGTTCTGAAAGAATTTTCTTCTGTTTGAGCAGGGAATTACGGAATTACGGAATTCCAATCCGTGCGCCACAGAAAATTAAGAACAAATCAGTATCCAGGCAACAATCCAGTCAAACTAATCTGTCCGACCTTTGCTGAACAACAAGCTCCTTGTAATGCATCAGACATGATCTAATAATTGACTAATTAAAACATCATCAGATAAATGTGCAATTTACCATCAACCAGACATGGAAATCAACCAACATTTTACATTACAGCAGACTGTAAGCAGAAATATAAGAAAAATGTTATTTAAATAAATAATGTGTCTATTTTTGACAGCAAGCAATTGTGACGATGGGCATGACGTGTTTGCCAAAGTAAAAGAGAACAGCCTGATGGGAACTTTTATTGCCAACCTCAGTTTCACTGCACAGCCATCATCCAATCATATGCGCTTAAACCTTTCTGGAAAAGGTGCTGATTGGTTTTATCTGGAGGGAAGAACCATTAGACTGAATTCAACATCAACTAGCCAAAGTAAAAGAGAACAGCCTGATGGGAACTTTTATTGCCAACCTCAGTTTCACTGCACAGCCATCATCCAATCATATGCGCTTAAACCTTTCTGGAAAAGATGCTGATTGGTTTTATCTGGATTGGTTTTATCTCAACATCAACTAGGATTATTGATAGAGAGGTAACATAAAACAAAATCGGTAACACTTTATTTTAAGGTGTCCTTGTTACAAGTACATGTACTTACTGTAGTATAATAACAATAAATTATGCATAATTACATTCAATAAATATCCCTAAACCAAACCCTTATCCTAACCCTACCCATATAGTAAGTGCATGTAGTTAATTAATATTACTCAGTACTTAAATGTATAATTACACTGTAACAAGGACACCTTAAAATAAAGTGTAACCAAAAAATCGTTAAATGCATGCTATTACACTGTCATGATTTTGTTTAAACTGTTAATATGATTTGTCTATAATGATATTACAGATACACGGCTCAGTTTTAACAGCAACTGTAAGGTGTTACGAACATAAAGCCCTACAGGTAAATTGAATAATCTGTAGTTAATGGTTTGTTAATAGCGAGAATTACACCTTAAAATAAAGTGTAACCAAAAAATCGTTAAATGCATGCTATTACACTGTCATGATTTTGTTTAAACTGTTAATATGATTTGTCTATAATGATATT